GACCGAACTCGTGGAAATGAGTGCAAGAAGTGACAGAGCTGCCACATTTCTGGACCTCGTGATGTAGATGCGGCCCGGGGCATCGGGGGCTCCGCTCCTCACGCAGCAGGGCAGAAAAACAAGGATCGCCTGTTAGCCGTGCGAAGGAGCCAGACACTGCGGATCCCATGCACGGGCCGTCTTTCACACAAGAATTTTCCGGGGCAATTAGCAATCTTTAAAAATAGTTCTCAAGTGATCCTCAGCTCCTCTTGATTGGCCAAACCTTCTGCACGGTGTATCCCAAATACCAAGTGTGCAGCCGGATGGCAGGCCCGGGGCTTCTGCAGACGTCACAGTCGGAGAGCCCCAGTCACCGCGCTGCGACCGGGACTGACCTTCCAGCTGTGAGCAGGGCGGCTGGGGTGGTCCACGGCTTCCCAGGGCCCCAGGGCTTCACGGGGCCAGGGACCTGCCCCAGACCTAGAGCCACTGCCCCCAGCCCCACGCTGGGCACCAGAGGCAGGCAGGACCCGTCCCCGTCTGTCTGCAAGGCGAGTGCAGGTCCAGTCGCCAGGAATGCGGAGCACTGTCACCGCCCCGCCACAGTTTCACGGTCATCGTAACTGCTCCCCTTCTTTATTAAATAACTTATAGTCACACGTGTGCATTTCCTGCTGTGTGTAATGCATAGGTTAAGGGGACCGGGAGGTGGAGGGGGGAGAGGGAAGGGAGGAGCAGGGGACTCACACGGCGGAAACTCCCCAGGACGTGAGCGATCGCTGTGAACTGCGAACACAGATAACAAACACACGAATGTTACACTACAGGCATGTATGTGCCGGAAAACACGCCACGCACACAGGACAGCCACCGCCCGCACTTGCAGGCATCCAGGCGAGCTGACTGTAAAAGGATTCCCAGGAACGCGAGGACACCTAGAGCTGCAGGCGGCCTCTCCCCTCGGGCCTGGCCCTTCTGCCTCATCCCGCCCCCTGCCGTTTCCACTCTTCCCGCGTCACCAGGATTACACGAGGGTCTTCCTCCTCCGGACTCCATCCCAGGCCAGCGCCGAGGCTCCTGCCCCGGAGACCGCGCCGTCTGACGGTCATCACGGCTCCTCTCCCCGGCCATGAGCAGAACCGGGCTCGGGCAGGAAATGCAGCAGCCTGGCCACATCCCGTCCACCACACTCAGGAGCCAGGAGCCGACGTCCACGTTTCACAGAGTCACAGGGTCCCACCAGGGCTGCACCCTGTGCAAGGCGGACGTAAACAGCACACAGCAGTGAGTCCTCAGCACCTGTTAAAAACTCGTTCAGCAAATCCCCGCGCTCCCAGCACGTGCTGGGGCTGTGGCCGTGGCCGCGTGGGACCTCAGCACCGCGGGCAGCAGGGGGGCAGAGCCGCGCTCCCACCTGGCCCTGTGCTGAGCAGCACCGGGGTCACTGAGCAGCACCTGGGGCAGGCCCCACTGCGGTTGGGGTGCGCTGCTCTAGGGGCTGCTCTTTGCGGCCATGCAGAAATGTACGGGAGCGTGCCCAGCCAGGACCGATTCCCTGGAGGGGGCCAAGAAGCCAGGGCGTTGGGAGCGCGCAGGAGAGAAGAATCCACGCCGGTCCTAGAGAAGCCCAAGACGGCTCTGCAGTCAATTACCGACTGAGTGAAAATGAGGTCACCTCCCTGGCAGCAGGGCCCAGAAAGAGGCCGTGAAATACCACAGATGCGTTCTCCGTGGTCTCAAGGACACGCGGCTAAAAATAGACGCACAATAGCGCCTGGCCCTGCTGTGCTGATTTCACAACCGCTGGCCCAGCACGGAACGTCGGCCTCGGCCAAGTCGGACGCGATGAAAACCAGGCGGGAGGCCGAGCGAGACCCAGTCACGGGCGCAGACCAGGGCCACCCTCCGCCCCACGGCAGGGGCCACGGAAGGCAAACCCGCTGCCCGGTTCCTCTGCCTCACTCTGCAGCCACGGCCGGGTCGCACCCCAGGGGCTCCTGAAGTCACCTCGATCCGGGCTCGGGAAGGGCGCTCGGAGCCTTGAGGACGTGGGCCTCGGTGATCCCTGCTGCAAGTGTGGGGCGTGGGCGGGACGGGGTGAGAAGGGTCTCAAAGAGAGAATAATTACAAGCACACGACCTGGAGGACGACGGCTAGAAATGTGTGCAAAATAAAATAGGAACAACACGGAAGCGCCCTGGCACCTTACGTGAGGGCCTCTCCTGGCAAACGCCTACCGTTGGCATTCACGGGATGTTACCGGCTGAGCAGGGAGCACCCTCTCCCTGGAGACAGGGTCACCCCGATACTGCCCATGCATGGTCACTAGGGCGACTCCTATTTTTCTAACAAAGAAAGCGATTTGGACCCTCAGACTTGCGCAGAGCCTTGGTCACCAGCCTTGGCCACGTGCTCGCCCCGTGCACCCAGGAAACCCTCCCACTGCGGAGCTGGGGCCGGTCTAGAGATGCCAGGCCCGGCGATCTGCGGGCAAAGCCCTCCAAACGCCGCTCACACACGGCCCCGCCTGGGAGCCGCCTCCCGGGGCAGTCAGCTCTTAGTTTTCCAGGCCACAGCACTGAAGTGCAGAAAGTTCCAGGAGGAGAAGCCTCCGCGGGGGCTTCCTCCACAGACCCCAGTGACGTGGGAACCCCAGTGCCACCTGCATGTCCTCACTCTCGCCCTCCCCTCTCCCCTTCCCTCCTCTCCCCTCCCCTCCTCTCCCCTCTCCCCTCCCCTCCTCTCTCCTCTCCCCTCCCCTCCTCTCTCCTCTCCCCTCCCCTCCGCTCCCCTCCTCTCCCCTCCCCTCTCCCCTCCCCTCCCCTCCCCCCTCTCTTCCCTTCCCCTCCCCCCTCTCTTCCCCTCCCCTCTCTTCCCCTCCCCTCCCTCCCCTCCCCTCCCCTCTCCCCTCCTCACCTCCCCCTCCGGGCTGCTTCTCCTACTGGAACTAGCCTCTCCAGGTTCCCTGACCTAGGCCGTGGCTCCCCAGCTTGCCCCACTGCGTCCTGTTCACACGCCCTGTGTTGGGGTTACCTGGCCCCTTGACCAAGGCTCCCCTTCATTCCCTCCTTGGCCTGGTCAGGCTCTTGTGACCTCTTTTCAAGTAGGCCTCAAGCCCGTTTTCGATTCAGCCAATGTTTTGAATGTGTCCTCTCCAGTGTCGGGTGTGAGGAGCTGGGACCTTTGAGGCACACAGGGCCACGAGGACTCGTCCTCCTGACGGGGACGAAGGCCATGCAAAGGTGGGGCCCGGCGTCCTTGTGCTTCTTTGTCTGTCCACCTCCTACCAGATGAACACGAGGCCTTCCTCCCCTGAGTGACACAGCCTTCAAGGCGCCATCTTGGAAAGGCCATCACCCAATCTGCCAGTGCCTTAGTGTCGGCCAGGAAGTGTCCACTGCAGCACACAGCCCGGCGCCTGGCACTGTCAGAGCCCCACAGGGTGGACCAGACGCCTGAACTTCAGGAACACAGGCCTCAGCACAAGTGCAGGGTAAGTGGCCCTGGAGCAAGAGTCCTGGGGTCACTTCCCCCGCCAAGGCCCCAGGTAGGAAAGCGCAGGCTGTGGGGGACACTCAGGCCGCCCCCCTGAACCCCAGGCCTGGGTGGAGCGCAGTTCCTAAGCCCTGGGGCCTGAGGGGTTTCCAAGGGCGTCTCCAGCCTCCTCCTCCTCCTCCGGGCTCCTCCCTGCCCCGTGAGAGGACAGGGACCCTCATGACTCTGACGGCTGTGTCCCTGAAGTCACACGCCCGTGGTCCTTCCCAGCAGTCCCCTGCCCTCCACCTCCGTCCTCCTCGTGGCCGGTGAGCTAAGGCATTTTTCAGCATACACGGATTTCACAACTCCTAACATGGGCGGTGCAGAGTCTCAACCCTTTAGGCATCTTGTCACAGTACCAAAAATAAAAGTTAACATCCTGTTCCACAAAGAAGTGGCAGCTTCCGAGCACCAAGGGGACACTCGGAAAGGGGGCAGGGCCACCCCATGGGGCTGAGGTGGAGCCCGAGAGGCCACCGAGGACACAGGGCCTCCTGTTCTGGGCTCAGCGGGGACAGGATGGGGACTCGGACAGGACGCTGGCCTCGCTCCTGACTCAGCCCCGCCGCCTCGAGGGCTGGGGTCCGCATTCCTGTGTGCACCCTGCAGCCTGCTGGGCGCCTGTCCTCAAGCCCACCGAGGCTGTCCCGGGCAGGAACAGACAGCCAGGGAGGGACACTCGGGTGGACACCAGGTCCCAGGGCAGATTCCGTGTGGCTGTGCTGTGCGTGGCTGTGGTCAGCCAAAGGCCACCCTTGTGGGCCACCGGCTTGAGTGTGTCCTGCCTTCCCCAGGACTCAGCCTGCCACCTCGTCCTGATCCAGAAGCAAAACCTGGAAATTACAGGATGTGCGCTCTGGGTTCACCCAGACAAAATGCAGAAAGTAGCGCTGTTATTTTGGGTGAAGAAAATCGAGTTTTGGTTTTCTGTGTGTTTGAGCATCCCGTGTTTGTGGTAGAGCACGTTTGCCTGCCTCATGCGGGGCTCTCACCCTTCCCCTTCCCCTTCCCTCCTTCCATCTTGTCATCCAGCCCATCTGGGAGTCCATCCCCACCGCCTGCTATCCGTCTTTTCCTCCGTGTAACCTGGTTCCTCATAGATGAGAACCACACAGCATCGGAGCCTGTGCGTCTGGTTGGTTTCGCTGAACACCACAGTCTCAGTTCGTCCATTCCCTTCAGATGACTCAGGCCTGTGCTTCTTTAGGGCACAGTAGTACTCCGGGTGTAAATGCCACACTCTTCTTCCCAGTGCTGATGGACACACAGGACGCTTCCAACACTTAGCTACGATGGGCCGCGCTGCTCTGGACACGGCTGTGCACAGGTCACTTCTACACGGTGCCTTTAACTCTTTTGGAAGATACCTAGCAGGGAACAGCTGGGTCAGATGAGTTCCCAGTTTTAGATTTTTGAGGGCCCACCATACTGATTTCCAAAAATTAAATGATAAATAAAAAAAAGAAATCAATTCTGTACAATTCTTTCAATCTAATTAAAGCGTGAGTTTATTTGGTAATCAGGTCACATGGTAGACTCACAGATGCAAACTCCTCTGCGGTCTAAGAGGGCCCCAGGACGACTGACAAAGAGGACGGTGGTGACAGCGGCAGCGGCTTCAGCTCAGGCTGTCACCAGGACTGGGGGAGGAGGTGGAGATGAAGGCCAGCCTGAGCCTCCCGTGTCCTCCCTGACCTGACCACACAGGCTTCCTCACTCAGGGCCAAACTCGGCTTTCCCGGCCACCCCAGACCTTCTGCCGCTAGGGGGTGCCTTGCAGTGCCCGCGACCCTCCGTTCCAAGCCACATGCTGTGCCGTTCCCATGGGACGGACTCCTCCTGCTGAATCAGTGAAGCTGGGTGCCTGGTGGCGCACACCTGTCATCCTGGAAGTCGGGAGGCTGAGGCAGAAGGATCGAGAGTTTGGGCCAGGCTTTGACAACTTAGTGAGACCCTGTCTCAAAATAGAAAAAATTAAACATAGGATGCAAAGGCCCTGGGGTCAATCATTGGTATTTAAGTAACACAGAAACAGGAAAACTAGAGCATAGCTTCCGAGGCCGGGTCATGAATTCCAGTGAGCCTTCAGCGAGGGCTTTGGGGGTCACTCCGGACCCAGCTGGGGGCACCCGGGGGGGAAGCCACTGGGGTGACAAAGTTACCCCACTGGCAAAGTGAAGGGGACCCTGACGTCCACATGCCACCCGTGGGGGGGTCACTCCCTTTCCCCGGGAATCACCCTGGGATGCCCGAGGGACTGGATTCTGCCACTTCTGGGTCTGGCCTTTTACGAGGCCAATCCTTTGGTCTCTTGGGGACTGAGAGGAGACCCCAGTACTCAGACGGGCACCACTGCGCAGTTCAACGCCGTGCTCAGCAGCAGGGCCAGGAGCCCTGCGGGGTCCGGGTGGTTTGCTGTGTGACTCGAGACCACCAGGAACATCCGGCCTCACAGCCTACCGGGTGAGGGAGAACGGGGGCCTGCGCATCCAGAGGGTAGGTGCGGCTCTGAATTTTCACCAACCCACAGCCACATCCAGGCGGGGTCCCCATGTAGGGCACCGCATACTAACCACAGTTGGGACCCTGACACTGAGAAGAACAGATTTATAGGCTTTCCCAAACTATGAACCGGGTGGGGCACCCCAGTAATCCCAGCACTCTGGGAGGCTGAGGCAGGAGGATCGTAAATCCAAGCTTAGTTTAGGCAATTTAGCAGTGCGTCATCCAAGGCTGGGGTGTAACTCAGAGCCAAGGCCCTGGATTCGCTCGGGGCGGGGTGGGGAAAGGGTGATGCAAGCCACGTGGAAACTGTCAAGAGAGCGCCCAGGGCCACAGAGCACTGTCCCCTTAGCCCCAAAGTGACGCTGACTGGAGCCCAGGACCCAGGAACTGGGGAGCACAGAGCCGCGGAGTTGAGTGGCTGAGATCACTGAGTCCAGGGTGTTTTCCGAAATACGTGGCACAGACTTACTCCCCGGCGCCACTGAGCCAGGAGGGGGTGGGGAGCCCCCTAAGCCACTGAGGCTGAGCCCCACGGGGGAGGGGAGCGGGGACACGGGCTGGGCTTCGGCCCCTCCTGTCCCTTACCCTCCACCTTCCACCCACACCCTGGCCCGCTGCTGACCTCCCCAGCCCGCAGCCCTGGGGAGTAAATTCATGCTCCTCACCAGGGCCTAGCGTTAGAGGGGACAGGAGGCCAGGGGACACCAGAGGTCCTCATGTGACTCTCAGGCAGGACGGCCCTGAGATCCATGAAGCCGGGTGGTCCTGGGGCCATTCGGGACGGCTGGGGATAACCCCAAACCGCAGCTCTGCAGCAGAAAGGAGAGATGGGAAGCCTCGTGTGGGGCACAGCCTGTCATCCCTGCACTCGGGAGGCTGAGGCAGGAGGATCACTGTAAGTTCAAGGCCAGCCGGGCTACAAAGTGAGCTCAAGGCAGCCTGAACTCCAAGCTGGGTTCATCTATTTAGGGCCTCCCCTGCCTGCCCAATGATTCAGATGTTGTCACCGGAGAAATGGAGGGGGGGGAGACCCTCGCCAACGCCGGCTTCTCCTGAGGCTCCCACTCCAATGCTAGGTTCTATGGTGACCGATGCTACAGAGAAAGAGTGTGGGGGTGCAGGTCCCACGGTCCCCACAGCAGGCCCCAAACCCCAGCACCATGCTCTGGGGTCCCAGCCCGAGAACCTGAGCCTTGAACCTCCGTCCTGCACAAGCTCCCTGCGGGTGACCCACGGCTGCCGGCCGAGTCCCTGGAAGCAGGCCCGGGGACCAGGGTTCCTGCAGCCGTGGTTTATCTGACAGAGGCTCCCACGGGCTCCGGGATGCAGTGACACAGGCTCTAGGTCCTGTGGGTCCTAACACCACGATCCACTCTGCACATCCACACTGACCCCAGAGGCAGCAAATGTGGGAATGGACGCCGGCCATGCTGTGCCGGGCATGGTCAGCGCTGGGGGCCCAGGAAGGGCGTCCAAGGCAGCCACACAAGGGGGACGGCGGCAGTCAGGAGCAGCAGGACAGCGTGTGGGAGGCGGGGACTGTGTCATCTTCGAATCTCCCGAAGCCCCGCCCTTCTGTGTCCTCCAGGACAGAGAAGCCACCTCGGCAACACCCCTGCACACTCACCTCCACCGCTGGGCCACCAGGGGTCCCCCATCACCCTGGTCCCGCAGGCATCAAAAGCAGGGCTTTGAAATCAGACAGAGCCGCTGGGCCGACACCCAGAGATCACACAACACCTCCTGGAGCATCAGCGGAGCACGGAAGAATGAAAGGACCCAGAGTCACTGCGGTGGGAACACGGCACCCCAAAACCTGCGGGCACCATGAACACGTCCTCAGGGGGAAGTTAGGGCTGCGCCTGCCCACCTGGGAAGAATGCAGCTGGCGCAGGGGCGTGTCGATGTCCACTCCCGGCCGGCAGGAAGGACACACGACAAAGTCTGGTAGTGGACAACCTTTTCTTTTTATTTTTCTTCTCCGTACAGCCTGCCCTGGGATCGCTCCCAGCCGAAGCCTCCTCTGGTCCGCTCCCCGCGGCTCCTTCTGGGCTTCTACTTCCGGGCTTCTACCTGGCTTCTTCTTCCGCCCAGGGGTGGCACCGGTATATATACGGGTACAGTGTCCAATCATGTTAAAGTAAGCAAGGCAAGCTGATTGGCTAACATCATCAGTTGCCAGGCAGACTATATTGTTGAGCGGGTTGTTTACGCGGTAAGCAGGAAACTAACATATTCGATGGGAGGGGCAATCTACCTCAGGCCTCACTCTTTACTACAGGCCTCACGTCCGCCAAGTGAGGCGACCGGGCTCGGGGCTGCGGCTCCCAACATCTCCCCCTTTTTTATTTTTTATGAATGTGCGCATCGTAGCCCTTCCTGGACTGGGTGCAGAGGCTTATGCCCTATGCGTAGGCCCACCGTAGGTCCTTGGCTTAGACCCTGGTCGGCCGTCCCATGGTCTGCCAAGGCCCTGAGGCCCTCGTCCTTTTTCTAGGGCCAGGCACAAACTGGACGGAACCTGGATGCACACAAGCTTGCACTCATTTCCTCTCCGTAAAGAAATCCCCTCGGAGAGAAATTTAGACCTGGGCAGCATCTAACAGTCCAGCGGCTTACGTGCAGGATGGGGTAGGGCCTGGCTTAGGTCGAGTCGTGCTGGGGAGGCACGCTCTTACCCGTCATTGACTCACCTACCCTGCTGTGTATTGTCACCTTATGGAGGAGAATGAGGGATGCCCGCCATATCTAGACTCGGTCGTGGGCCAATTGAGCAAGCCATGCATATGCCTGAGGATCTTCTTGTCCATTTCGGGCTACCGCTATTTCTATTCATCTTATTGGTTGGTCTGTGATGGATCTCCAGTAGGGCAGGTCTGATCTTCAGTCGAGGGCTTTGTTGCCCGTGTCAGTCTCTCCGGTATCCACAGTGGTTCTCGTCCCGGTTCCTGTGGGAAAACACAAACCGCGCCTCGGTTCCAGCTGACCACTGGATCCGGGCCCATCCATTGTCCTGTCATAGATAACCGCGCCTTTGGAGGCAGGCCTTGGCTTACTCCCCCTTTTTGTTTTTTATTTTTTATTTTTTATTTTTATCTTTTTCGTTTTTTTTTTTTTTTTTTTTTTTTTTTTTTTTTTTTATTGGTACCAGGGATCGAACTGGCGATTGCCTGCTTACAAGGCAGGCGCTTATGCCGCTAAGCTAAATCCCCAGCTCCCATTTCCTCGACCGGCGTTTTTCTCAGCCTGCTCGGCAGAGAACTCTGTGTACCAGGCTCGCCAATCCAGGTAACTGCCCGAGGGCAGACACGCCTTTGCCAGCTGAATCCAGTCCGCGGGGGCGAGGGGCCCAGAAGACAGATTCTCCAGCATGGCAATGGTGTAAGGCGCAGTCGGCCCAAAGGTTGTAACTGCATTTTTAAGTTCTCTAATCTGCTTTATCTCAAAAGGCTCCCATACATTGCGTCCCTGGCCCATAGCTACTTGTACAGGAAATATCCCGTAGGGGCCACTATCTATCCCAGGTGGATGTACCTCATGAGACAAGCGTCCCCCCTGCCAAAGCCCCCTGTAAAAATACCGACCCGCCGGCGGCGGAGCATAAGACGGCGGCCGTGATTGGGCGGAAAATGGGGGCCCGTGCATCACTTCCTGTTCTGGCGAAAGGGGAGGGAGCTCCCAGGCGGCCGCCTCGTGGCGAGGAATCGCCTCCGGAAACGGCCCCCAAGGTGGGGCGGAAGGCTTCGCCTCCCTCTCGCGCCGGGGAGCGCTCAGGAGCTCTCTACTCCTCCGCAGACCAGGTTGAGCAGAGCGCAATTCGCGGGGCAACGCTGGAAAAGAACCCTGCGACTCCTTATTGAGCGATTTAGGCTCCTGACAGCTGGTCTCTTTGGCCTCCTTGCCATTCAACTTTCCCTCGTCCTCGGAGTCAGACGACTCCGAGGCTAGAGCCCCGTCCTCCTCCTTAGCATCCTTGTTCCCCTTGACGGACCCCTCTCGGGAGCTCCCTGACTGGGCCTGCTCAGATACCCTGCGTACTTTTGTAAGCTCTTGAGAGCTTTCTCCACAACCACCCTCGCTCTTAGTGTTGCTACCTAACATGTTTCCCATCTTTTAATATGTTACTCACCGCGTGAGGCCCAAGGAATCCGCCACTTACGCGTGAGCCTGAGGGGAGTCTAAAAGCCCTGTAGGTGCGCGCCACCCAGAGCCCAGGCTTATCCCCAACTCACCTGTCTCGCAGCTCTGTACTGGAGCGTTGTCCACTTCCACGTCTCGGGGGTGATCAGTCCCCGGGCGGGCCACCAAATGTCGATGTCCGCTCCCGGCCGGCAGGAAGGACACACGACAAAGTCTGGTAGTGGACAACCTTTTCTTTTTATTTTTCTTCTCCGTACAGCCTGCCCTGGGATCGCTCCCAGCCGAAGCCTCCTCTGGTCCGCTCCCCGCGGCTCCTTCTGGGCTTCTACTTCCGGGCTTCTACCTGGCTTCTTCTTCCGCCCAGGGGTGGCACCGGTATATATACGGGTACAGTGTCCAATCATGTTAAAGTAAGCAAGGCAAGCTGATTGGCTAACATCATCAGTTGCCAGGCAGACTATATTGTTGAGCGGGTTGTTTACGCGGTAAGCAGGAAACTAACATATTCGATGGGAGGGGTAATCTACCTCAGGCCTCACTCTTTACTACAGGCCTCACGTCCGCCAAGTGAGGCGACCGGGCTCGGGGCTGCGGCTCCCAACAGGGGCGCACGCCTGTCGTCCCAGCCCTGGGCAGGCTGAAGCAGGAGGACTGCGTGAGATCCAGGCCAGCCCGGGCTGCCCACCATACCCTGCCTCACAGCATCAGCATGGGGCGGTGCTGTGTACCCCGGGCGCTGCGGTTCCTTCAGCCGCATGGTAGAGGGCAGAGAAGCTGTGCGCCCAGAGACGAGTTCCCTAAACAGCACACAACGCCCCCACGCTGGCCTTTTTTATTTTTATTTTGAGCAGCGCTAGGCTCAAACCTGGCATCCTCCTGCCTCAGCTCCTAGAGTGCGGAACGCACCACCACCCCAGGCAAGCTCAAGATGGTGGAATGAGGAACCGATTCGGGACACCCAGGTGAGGCTGGCGTCCGAGAAAAGCGTCAGCAAAGGAGACGCACAGACGACGGCAGGTGTCCCAGGGAATGGAAGAGGCTGAGCACAGCTTTGGTGAGGGCCAGGGCTCAGGGACACCTCAGCACCCGGAGCAGACAGGGGACAGGCTCCCCTGCACCCCAACTTCGTTCCGGGAAAGCAACCTCAGACTCCATCTTCCGGGACACAAGCAGTGCTGTTTGGGGCCCCAGATGCAGGCCGTGAGTGACAGCGCCCCCAAGCAGGCAAAGCCACTCCGTGTCCCCCACGTCTGCGTCTGTGGCCACCGCAATGTCTCAGGGGCCAAGTGCGAGCACGTAGGTGGCCTTGTCACCCTAGGGTCCCTACCCCTCCTTAGGCCACAGCTAGATGTCACAGCAACCGAGGGCCATAGCCTCCAGGAGCCCAGGCACCAGGAGAAGGTCAGGGAACTCGACATCCTCCCAGCCAAGGCCCCAAGTCAGAACCCGAGCCCGAGTCCCCCCAGGCCCCGCTCGGCAGGCAGCTGGGCGCCCGCAGGAATTCTGCCCTCAGCGTGAAGAGGAGCAGGAAAAACCATCCCCTCCTCCCAGCCAGCGCCCTGGGTTATTGTTGGTTTCTTGGGTTTTTCTTTTTTCCTTCATAAACAGCAGAATTTGAATTTGCCTTGGAGCAAACTCCCAGAGGAAAGTATGAAAGAAATTGTTTCTCGGGATCCCCTCTCCCTCCAGCTGGCACGCGGGACTCCGGGGTTTTTCCGAGGGAAGCCAGGCCGCATGTCAGGATCCTGCTGAGAGGTGGGGGCTCCCCGGCTCCAGGCACGTCCCTGCAGCAGCCTGGCAGGTCCTGTGCTGCACCCCTGAGCTGAGGGGGTAGTGGCCGGGCGGTGGCCAAGCAGGACAGAGCCAGGGCAGGTGCTAAGGGGACAGCTGGCTGGGGCTTGGGGCTGAGTCCTGTTGAGACCCCTGCTGTGCAGGTGGCAGAAGATGGCCCTGAAGCGGGGGCCCCAGTGTGGGGAGGGAGGTCATGGGGGGAGCAAAGAGGAGTGGAGTGGGGCGGGACACAAAACGTCCAATGCATGGCTGGAAGATTGCACACACGCGTGCGCGTGCGCACACACACACACCCCTACAGGGGTGCGCAGCTGTCCAGGCCAGTGGATCCCGAGAGAGCAGTGCTGGGAGCCCACCTGGGTGCTGGAGGGGAGGAGGCCAGACAGAGCCCCCAGAGCTGGGCGGGCACTGGCCCCAGCCGGTGGGAGCTGCCCGCTCTCCACCTACTGCTCCCTGCAGGGGACGGAGCCCCTGGTCCAGGGGAGCCTGCAACAGCCCCGAGTGCTGCTCACCAGGCAGCATCCGGGGGCCCGGCCTGGGGTTCAGAGCCCAGCGAGTCGGAGGTGCCTGGCTCCCACCGGGGACAGACCACGGAAGGAAAGCTCGCAGCAGCGACACCCAGCGCCAGGGACCTCAGGCCGGGCAGTGAGAGAGCGCGGGGAGGGGTCCGTGCCCATGACCCCCACCAGGCCTGATCTGGCTGGTCCCTAAACAGGAAAAGCAAAATATCAGGAAACGCGGGGAGTGTGATCTCTATGAGGGGAGGGAAAGGACAGCAAAAAGGAGGGTGACAGGCTCCGTAGGAACAGATTTTCTTCTCATTGTTATCCTGCAAAATGCACAGAGAAGGAAAACGGAGAACATGAAAGTGACTCCCTGATCTTACCTTCTTCTAACAGCTTGATGGAAGCAGAGCTGGCTCTCGGGGAGGGTGTTCAGCACGGACTGTTTAGCGCGTTTCAGCCAGTGGGAGATCCCTAGGCCTTCACCACGATCTGACAGCCAGCAGTTCCTCCTCCTCCCCTGAATCCCTCCTCGGGCAGCCCGTTCTGTGGTTCCATGGGCGCCCCAGGGTTTACACAGGGCATCTTTAGCTCTCAGCCTTCCCCAAGCTCATAAAACCACCTCACACGAACGTAAGAACCTCCCGGCAGAGCCCTTCTCTCTGGCCCTCGGCATCACATGACTCGGCCTCTTATAAACCACACGGAGCCTAGTGTTCTGTTTTCACTTAAACTGTTACATTTTGCAAAAGTTTGAGGATTTTTACCCACATGATTAGCATTTGGCGGGCTCTTTATTCCCCAAATGGCATAGATCTAAATTTCCACCCAGCTCTGTTTTCCTTCGACCACAAGGACTTCCCTAAATATTTATGATAGTGGAGGTCGGCGGTGACGCATCATTCCCGCCACATGCTTCTCCCTCCGGTGGAGATCTTCACCAGCTGAGGTGTTTTCTTTCATGCTTTGAAGCCTGCTGCCCACTGTTCGCCAGCTTGCATAGTTCCCACCAGGAAATCCGCAGTCTGCCGTACCTTCCGAATGAGACGGGCTTCCTGCGTCTGGCTGAGTCTCAGGCTCCCTCTGTGCCACCTGTCTTCAGGCTCTCGGGCATGGATCTCAGCGCAGCCGGGGATCTTGGGTTCACACTTCTCACCAAATCTGAAAATTGCTGTCATCTCCCCAAATATCTTCCTGCCCTCCCTTCCTGACAGCCCCAGGGCATGCAGGTTGGATCACTTGTAGTTTTTCCACAGGTCGGAGTTGGTTAGGGACTGCAGGGTGATATGACTTAACTTTCAGGGCAACATGGACCTCTCAAGGCTTTAGGCAAAGGAGTAGTGACATTTGCCCTGCGCCTGGCTGCACAGCCCTCTGGATCTGCACCAGGGACCAGGGAAGAAGGGTGTTGCTGTGGGGGCCACTATGAGAGTCTCGACAGGGAGGGGCAGTTTAGGTCGTGAGACCAGGAAGCGGCCTCAGCAGGTCCTTGCCAGTAGAAGGTGGTGACCGCGTGTGGATGGTGAGGGAGGAGAGGCTGAAGTTCTGGCACTTCTGACAGGGGATGGACAGCTGGGAAAGCGGTCTTCTGCTGTCTTCTGGGATCCAGTTGGCTGAGCAGAAGGTTTCAGAGAACTAAATAAAAAACTCATCGGGGTGGATGCATTTCAGGAGCCTGTGCCACCCCCGAGCCTCTGCAGACCAACGCTGGCCGGAAGGATGCTGGGGGTGCCCTGCCCCTCAGGAAGGCCAGGCACACAGGCACGGGAAGCGTTCAGGGTGAAGGGGTGCACGGGCCAGGCAAGAACAGGTGGCTTGGACGTGGCCAGGGTCCCCGTCCCCGACACCTGCAGCCCGACCCGTGGACGTCCAGCTTCTCCGGCATCACTGTCAACGACTTGCCATCTCCGCACCTCAAGGAGTCAAAGCTCCAGGCTGCGGGTGAGAGGGAGGATGTGCCCACCCTGCCGTCAGGAGAAAAGGTGCACTGTGACCTTGGACAGATACTTCTGCAGCGTCCAGTGATGCAGCAGAAACAGAAAGTGCGCTTTGATTCAGAACTGGACCAGAACTCCAGAGAGACCTGGCCTGCAGGTAAAACCACAGCCACTTGGGCCTACGTGGTGACCTGCTGAGCCCAGTGACAACATGGCCACGAGAAAGTGTGTAGACCGTGGAGGGACAAAGGCCGGGAACCAAGCCCTCAGGTATGGTCACTCAGGAGGCTGAGGCAGGAGGATCGCCATGCATTTGAGGTTAGCCTGGACTACAGAGTGAGTTCAAGACCAACCTGGACTATAATTCAGGGAGATTCTGTCTGAAGAAAATACGGAGAAGGAGAAGGCTGCAGATCCCAGAGGAGGAAGCCAGGAGCCGAAGGGAACACTGGAAAGGAGGCGGCGGGACCCTGCTGCAGTGATCAGAGGCAGCGAGCTCAGAAGACCTTGGGTCCCAGAAACGGAAAGAGTTCTGCCTGCCCTAGAATCAGTCACAGGACTTCATGGCGGTGGTCTAACAGGGCGGAAGGCCACATCGGGAACGCTGAGGGCCACTTCCTCCTTCCTTTCCCCATACACAGAAGGAAGTCCCCTCTGCTCCTGAGGAGTCATCATGCCCACCCAGCAGGTCACATTTGCCCCACCCACCTCTGCACCTGGTGTAAGGAGAGAGCCGACCGCCCCGAAGCCACTGGGGACTAGCAGGGAGCACTCTGGTAGCACCACAAGGAGCTCAGAGCTCCAGAGAGGAATACAGAACAGGGCCAGGCGCGGGGCTCCTTAGAGGAGCCTGCCCAGGGCCTGGAGGACCAGAGGTGGGTGTGGCTCGGGGGCTTGGTTTCCCTGTTTTCCTTCTTGTTTTGTGTTTTTTAGGACAAGGTTTCACATGCAGTTCAGGCTGGCCTTGAACTCACAGCAGCTCAGTCCTCCTGCCTCCGCCTCCCCCGTGCTGGGATCACAGGTGTGCGCTGCCCCACCCTGCTTGTGTGTTTTGCTCACTAGAACAGAGCCTGGCGGACAGGTACAGGTGCCCTGCATGTAGGAGTGAGCAGGGGCTGTTGGGCTAACCAAATCTCAGGAGGTAAATATTCTAGAGCAAAAACTGTACTAACACTGTTCTTAGGTTTTTACAGATTTAATCCTCAAAACTATGGTAGGCAGCAGGCATGGCTGTAACCACAACCACTTCACAGGGGAGAGACCAGCAAATAAGAAGCTGAATCCGCCAGGTCACAACCCGGGCAGCCTGCACTGGGCCACCGACCCCGCAGCCTCAAGAGCAAGTCCCAGGTAGTGACAGGGTGAGCTCGGGTGTGGAGTCCCACACCCAGTGCCCAGACAGTTTATGTGTGCTGCTGGCTCCGGGGCTTGGGTGAGCCTGACACAATGCAGAGGCCAACAGCACACAGACATCCGGAATGCCGGACATGCCTGCCCAAGGCCAGCATGGTCTTGCACCCCTGCAATCCCAGCTCCTGGGGAGGCTGAAGTAGGAGGATCCCAAGTTCAGCGCCAGCCTGGGCAATTTAGCAAATCCTTGTCCCAAAATTTAAAACATCAAAAGAGCTGTGATGTGGCTCTGTGATAGGTGCCTTGCCTGGCACAGGTGAGGTGCTGGAGTTCATTCCCAGAACCCCAAAATAGAGCTGTCTCTGTAACGATCTTAAAGACAAGCTAGGCCTTTGGGGCTCCAGGGGACCCTGCCCAAGGTCTGCAGGGCCCACCCCAGGTTTCGAACCCAGAGCAGGCAGTTTCTTGGGGGCCTTCACTGCGCCAGGAGGCTTCACCCATGACTTCGCTGTGTCTCTGTCAGGGGCCTTCGAGCCCCGGTGTGGGGAATTCTCATCACATTCCAAGGTGACTGGCCTGGGACTGGAATAGAGTCTCTGGGTGAAGCCCAGGACGGGGCAGGCAGGGACTCAGGACCCAAAGACCCGGGCTTTGGGCAGGCTTTTCGCTGCGGGGCTCCCTTAGAGCCCAAGCCCAGCCCTTGCTCCTGGTCCCTGCCTCATCTAAGGAGCACACTTGGGTTCTCAGCTAATGCAGGGCTCTGCTGCCGGTGTGACAGGACGTCCGAGCTCGAAGGGGCCACCAGGAAACACCTGGGCCAAGCCAGGTCTTCACAGGTCAGAGGGTCAGCGTTGAGCTCCAGCCTGGACTGGCACCCCCGCCTCCTGGCCCCAGGCCTGCGTGGTCTGCCGCACTGCGCTGCCCTCTGCTGGCGGCAGAGGGAATGACCTCGGGGTGGTGGCCAGTCCTGGGCACCGCCCTGGCAGAGACGCTGGAGGGCGCCTGGGGGCGGTTCAGACAGATCTGGCATCCCCTGCGCCCCTTCCTACCTCAGGAGCCTGGGCTCTGCAGAGGGCTTGCAGCTGGCACCGCGCAGGTTGACCCTGTCCACTCCCACACCGCGGACCCTGCAGTGAGCCAGGCCAGCACCCTGGGCGGATTAGAAGTCCACTGTGAGGCTCCAGTAATTTCTACCGTGGACCTCTGTGCTGTGGGCACCGCGCTGACCACCTCAGATGCACAAACCTTTCCAGTCCCCCCAAACCCTGTGAAGCAGGTGCAGTCGCAAGCATCGCCCCATGCACAAGTGGGGAGACTGAGGCAGGGAGGCAGCCAACCAGGACGCAGTGTGGCTGAGCTTTGACTCAGGTAGCCTGGCCTCCGAAACGGCTGGCAAACCCAGCATTGTGTGCTGGGTACAAGGACACAGACTTGAACCCCAAGGGCCCCTGGGAGCGGATTTATCGGCATGGGGGAGGGGTGGGGTTTAGTGGACCGAAGACCTGGGAGCAAGTGATCCCAGCACTCTGGGAGGCTGAGGCAGGAGGATCTCGAGTTTGAGAACTTAGCTTCTTAGTGAGAACCAGTTTCCCTCGGAGGAATGGAGCGCGGTGCGAAGGCCCTGGCTCAGTCCCCGGCTCAGTCTCCAGCACGACTACCAAAAACAAACAAAACAGCACCGAACAGCAGAATCGCTGCCCACCCTTCCGTAGGTGCTGGACTCAGTTCCTATCACAATACATGTTAACTGCACCGGGATCGCCTAAGCTCTTAGAAAGCAGTAACCGGGGGTCGGGGC